CGCGGGCTGCTGGGTCCCCGCGGAAGAGGGAAACCGCGCCCAGGTGCAGTCCGGACCTCCAGGGGCGAAGGGGCCCAGGCGGGACTGCGTCTCTGCGCCGGTCTAGGTCCGCGCAGACACTGCCGTCGGAGCTGGCCTTGCCCGCACCGGCCACGCCCCGTCGCGCCCCGCCTTCTCCTGCCTCCTCCGGAGCCGGGCTTTCAAACTCTGAGTCGCACAGTGACCCGAGAAGGCATCGCCCTCCACCACGGGGACAGGACACCTGTCGCACTCCCACCCCCACCCCCCGCCCAGGGGATAGAGGAGAGGAGTGGCATGGGAGCGGATCCTGCACGCGCGAGACTGGACGGAGCTCCCCAGGGCACCGCCGGTTCTCTGCACGGCGGGGCCAGGGCTTCATCCCAGAACGATCTGAGGAATCACGAGGGTGGGCCCGCCAGTCGGGGAAAGGTCGGCTCGGGCGCCTCTGCTCAGGGCTGGGAGGCCCGGCCTCGCCGCCTCCAGAGTCTGGCCCTGGGCTTGGAGAAAAGAGTCTTTCTCTGCAGTCTATAGTATTTTGTCACCTAAAACGCATCCCTTCTAACTCCTGGTCTCATGCCTAGTGGTAGCGTCACGGTGCTTGTTTAAATAAAAATGAATTGTGATAATTTTCCAATCCAAATAGTAAGAGACACTTGTGGGATGGGGGGATCATATGTGCCCTTCAAGCAGGAGCGGCCTTGGGGTTTCAGGGTTGCGGTTGCCTGACCGCTCCCATGTGCAGCACCACTTGTCGAGAGAGGCATCAACCCTTTGTGAAAGGTTTCCTCTTTACCTGGAACCCCCAGCGGCCGGACCCAGGCTGGGGCCACCCCCCCCCCCATCCACACTGCGACACCTCCCGGGGCTACTTGCCAGTCTCTACCCAGATCCCTGGAGGCCTCCATGTCCGCTCAGTCCAGGGGATTTGCTCCACAGTCCTAACGTTTAGGACTTTCCCCTTTCGGAGACGCCCTCAAAGTTAGTTTATGAAGAGTCCTAGTGATTATTGCATCCACTTCTATGACAAAACCAGAAGAAAAATGTTCTGAAAATTACTGGAATTGTTTTAAATTGTATAAAATGCTGCCCACATGATATACAGGGTGAGTGTGTATGTAAGTCATACAGACACTACATGAAAATGTGGTAATTATCCAACTGAACTGATCAATGGACACAGAAACCAAGATTGTTTAAGGCCCTAAGTGAACATTTTGCCTTAATTTTAAGTCGAACTGTTTTCCTAACAAAATAACATGAAAGTTCTTTGTGCTTCAATTCAGAAATAGGAAATCTGAACAGACCTATAATAAATTAAGAGATTGAATGTGCAATAATAATAATAAACTTCTCACATTAAAATGCCCAAGATGAGAGGACTTCACGAGTGAATTATACCAAATGTTTAAAAGAATTAATACCAATCCTTTCAAACTTATTGTGTGTAGTGAAATCAGAGGGGTGAGGGAAAATTGTAAATGTCCTAAATTGCCATTTGTAATGATTTTAATTAATCTGAGCTCATGAGACCAATATTTTAGAGAAGTAATACAGATAAATAAGTTATAAAGTCATAGGCAGGAAAATAGGTAAACATGGAAAGTGTATTTTTTTTTTTAAATAGTGATTCATAAAATTTTGGGTTTTTGCATACTCTAAGAAATGTATGTAAGTCACAGATTCTCTCCCCAGGGGAAAAGAATGCCCATGAACATATTCATGTACATGGGAACAAAATTCTACATACAGTTTGACAGATCCCAAGTAAAAAATTGCCTGAAAAAGTTTATTCTGTTTTAAGAGAAAGGCACATGATGTTTGAAAGAGGAGATTCTTGGAAGTCCCTAAATGACAGTGTTTTCTCGAGTGGAGAAAGTATGCTACAGAGGAAAGGGAAAGGGAAAGGAATGTGGAGTCAGGTCATTTCTGCTCATTCCCATGTGACTGAGCATCCCTGAGCCTGTTCCCCTCTCTCTAAACTGGGAAGCACAGCATCTGTCTGTCTGGACTTTGTGGACCTCTGCTCAGATTCCCTTGGATTCCTTCCACATTTGCACATCCTCCTCCAGTTCCTGCCTGCTCTTGCCTCCAGTAACCAGTCCCAAAACCACCACCAGAGAGGCCTGACCTTCTTCTTTGGAGAAACTACCATTGGCCACCAGACCACCAGTGCAGTGGCCAAAAGAGACCAGGTGCCTCTGTGTTCATATGCTCCCGGTATCCTGTAGCCTGTGACTGATAGAGACCTTGACCTCCCGGTGGATAACTCTGAGGCAGAGTTTATAAGCCAGAGTTTCTCTGAGTGAAGACATCCTTCACTAACCATTTCTGAAATCCCATCCTTGTTTGGTTTTCTACCCTTCTCTGTTCTGCTGTCCCTACTCCCTTGCCTGCTTCTCCTAGCCACACTTCCTTACAATCACTTTTTAGAAAAACTCTTGACTCGGTTCTGCTGTAATTGAGCTATCACATTGTAAGGATTAAATGAAACATTATAAAGCAGAACCAAGAACAGTTCCTGGAACAGAGTAAGCCCTCAATAAAAGATATCCAATCTTTTTATTCTGAAACTTTAGATCTTTTTTGGTTCTTATAGACAAGGAAGACTTTTTCTCTATTTTATTCCAGAAGAATTTTGAGAAACATCCTTTTCCCTATCTAGGCTATTCTGGGTATAGTATGATTTGGAGTGATCATGTACTATGAAACTTTCTTCTGTGAAAGTTTGTGTCTCCCTTAATGTTTTTTCTCTTCACCAAGATGGGCTGTCAATACAGAAAGTACTTCATATTTTCCTTCTATTAATAAATTTCATGTTGCTTCTTTCAAATAGAAATAAGGTCAGGTTGTGAGCCTAACAACAGAGCCCCAAAATACATGAAGTAAATACTATTTTTTGACAAGGATGCTAAAACTATTCAATGGGAAAAGAATAGTCTTTTCAATTGGATGTCCACGTCCAAAAGAATAAATTTAGAACCATCCTTCACACTCTATACAAAAATTTAAATGGTTCAAAGGCCTAAGTATAAAAACTAAAACTGTGCAACTCTTAGAAGGAAACCTTGATGTAAATCTTTATCACCATGGATAGGCAAAGGTTTGTTAAATATGACACAAGAGTTACAAGCAGCAAAAGAAAAAGATTGATAAATTGAACTCTACCAAAATGTGTGAATCGAAGAACAGACTTAGAAAGCAAAACAACACACAGAATCACAGACTAGATCGGACTTGGTGGCTCAGCCTGTAATTCCAGCACTTTGGGAGTCCGAGGCAAGTGGATTGCCTGAGCCTGCAGGCACGAGACCAGCCCAGGCAATTTGGAGAGACCTCATCTCTACAATAAATCAGAAAATTAGCCAGATATAGTAGCACGTGCTAGTTCCAGCTACTTGGAAGACTGAGGCGGAAGGATCACCGGAGCCTGGCAGATCAACACTTGGTGGCCTTGAGCATGCCACTGCACTCCAACCTAGGTGACAAAGCAAGACTCCAACTCAAAAAAAAAAGAGGAGCCGGGCTCGGTGGCCCAGGCTGTAATCCTGCGCCTTTGGGAGACTGAGGTGAGGTGATTGCCTGAGCCCGCGGGTTCAAGACCTGCCCGGGCAACTTGGCAAGAACTCATCTCTACAATAAATCAAAATGAGCTGGGTGTGGTAGCTCGCGCCTGTAGTTCCAGCTCCTTGGAAGGCTGAGGCAGAAGGATCGCTGGAGCCCAGCAGGTCGAGGCTGCGGTGGCCAGGAGCGGCCACTGCACTCCAGTCTGGGTGACAGAGTGAGACTCCAAAAAAAAAGAGGAATCACAGAATATTTTAAAATCACCTATCAGAATATATGAAGAACTCTTACAATTCAACAATTAAATGATAGCAGCCCAATTTAAAAATAAGTAACAGATTTGAATAGACATTTATCCAAATAAGATACACAAATGTCTCATAATCACATGTAAAGATACTCAACAGCATTTGTATTAGGGAAATGCAAATCAAAACCACAAAAGAGATATCATTTCATATCCACTATGATTAAAATAAAAACAGAAAATGAGTGTTGATGATGTTCTGGAGAAATTGGGACCTTCATACATTGCTGGTAGAAATGTAAAGTTGTGTAGCCACTGTGGAAAACAGCTTGGCAGTTTCTTAGAAAGTTATATATATATATATTATATTAGGAATATAATTAATGAATGACCCAGTAATTATATTCCTAATACAATCAAGAGAATTGAAATGTTTGTATACACACATTATACACAAACTTGCAAGTATGAGTTTAAAAAAAAAGTTGACACAACTCAAATGTCCATCGGCTGTTCAATACATAAATACAATGTCATACAAGGTAATATCTTTCAGTCATAAAAAATAAAGTACTGATACATGCTACAATATGTATTAACTTTGAAATTATGCCAAGTAAAATATGATTATGCCAAGTGAAATGTCATATATAAAAGGTTACATATTATATGAACCATTTATATAAAATTTCCAGAATAAACAAATCCATAGAGACAGAAAGTAGATTAATGAGTTTGCCAGGGGGCAAACGAGTAGATTAGGTGTAACTTCTTAATGCATAAGGAAATTTTTTATTGAATAACGAAAATGTTCTGAAATGAGATAGTGGTGATGGCTGCACTACACTGTAAATATATTGAAAACCACTGAATTATTCAAAATAGTTAAAATGATGAATTTTGTTATGTGCATTTTATCTCAACAAAGTAAATATTTTTTAAATAAGGACGGTCAGACTATAAGAAACAACTTAAGAATTTACTGCATTTTTACCAGATAAGAATTACTAGGACACTGTGAAGGAAATTTGCAAAATTTGAGCAAAGTTCCCAAGGGTATTCTTAAAATATGAACTATGAGTTTTACTGCTGTTCCATAAATTTATACAAATTATGTCTCTATTCTTTCTTCAAGTCTAATCTCCTCCTCCTCCAATCTTGGTTGTTCCATATGCTATTGTAAAAAATAATTACTAAATGCGGGATAATAGAGAAGTAATAGGAAATGGAGAATGAAGAAAAGAGACAAAGAAAAGAAATGGCTGAGAGAACTGGGGAGTCCATTTAAAAGCAAGATAAAGATAAAATACATTCAGCTGGTTAGAACTTAGGCGACCAAGTTAATGGGTCCAGCTTCCACGTGGACCATGGAACCATTCTTTTTGTTCATAACTGCAAGTCCATTCAAACGATATATTAACATGGAAAAAAATTAGGAAAGCAATTTTCTAAAACGCTGTAGCTGGATTTCAGTTGGGCAGTGATCAAGGCCAGGAAGGGAGTATGTGATTGGATGGGGTGAGTGGTAGATGCTAATGTTATTTATTTATTTATTTATTTATTTATTTATT